TCTAGAAGATTTGTGTTAGAAGAGGGTTCATCATCATCATCATCATCATCAACAGCCCATAGTCGTCCACTGCTGGACATAGGCCTCTCCCAATCTACACCACTGAGCCCGGTCTGCGGCTCTCCTCATCCACTTCTTGCCGGCCACCGTTACACGTAGAAGAGGGTTAGTTACATGTAATTTGTATCTAATTCGAACGCCTGATGGCTGGGAAGAGCAATAGCTGATGCAGCGTTCGATTTACAATACGCACTAGGAGGTAATTTGACAGTATATCTGGTGTCACTATGGGTGGATTATGGATCCCACCAAACTCAACGTTCTTCTTTTTTTTTTGGTCAGATGGGTTGACGAGCTCACAGCCCACCTGGGGTTAAGTGGTTACTGGAGCCCATGGACATTACAACGTAAATGCGCCACCCATCTTGAATTATAAGTTCTAAGGTCTCAAGTATAGTTACAACGGCTGCCCCACCCTTCAAACCGAAACGCATTACTGTTTCACGGCAGAAATAGGCATGGTGGTGGTACCTTGCCGCGCGGACTTACAAGTGGTCCTACCACCAGTAAAAAGTATGACAGTGTATCTGGTGTAACTAGTGGTAGATTATGGATCCCACCAGACTCGACGTTCTTCCTGGCAATAATGCGCTTTATATTGGAACACGGGGCATCCAATCCACAGCCTAATTGCTCGTAAACATTTTATTCATGCTGGTTTGTCGACACGCACATTGCACAACTGATATTTCGACATGACTCCAAGCGAAGCCCTACTGGTGCTTGAAGATCCATAGGATTCTGTAACCGCTTAACATATGGACGGTCACGAGGTCATTTACAATCATCTAAACCAGGGGTTCTCAAACTTATTTTGTCTACTGCCCACTTTGGGAATAAATTATTTGTTAGCACCCCCATTTTTTGACATACATAAAAACCACTATAGCGAAACCTTAGTCGGTGTCTAAGAGTCCTCCTAGATGAAATTACAAATCGCCTCCCAAGCCTCTACACAACGCCCTCAGTTTTTTTGCTGGGTCTCTTACCGCCCCCTTTAAAGCTTGCAGCGCCCATAAGGGGGCGTTATCGCCCACTTTGGGAAAGGCTGATCTAAACCTATGTAAATAAGGGTCAGTAACCAGAATTCTCAGATCGGAACGCGTGACTACGTCGCGGTAGAACTAAGCCGGATGGTAGCGCCTCTATACGATACTAATAACCCTCAGACACAGCCCACTGAGTTTCTCGCCGGATCTTCTCAGTGGGTCGCATTTCGGATCCGGTGGTAGATTCTGCGAAGCACTGCTCTTGCTAGGGTTCGTGTTAGCAACGTCGTCAGGTTTGAGCCCCGTGAGCTCACCTACTAGTTAAGTTACGCTGAAATAGCCTCTCAAGGCTCTCAGCTAGGTACAAAAAAAAACGATACTAAGTGTGACTTACTTCTCCAGCTATTGCAATTCTCGAACTCCATCTCGCAATAATTATTGAAGGTCTTATATTGACCGTCGTAATGGCGGGCGCATATGAGGGTTTGCCTGAAAACGTGACCTCATAAAACACAACTATAGGACACATGAACAACAAACAAATGAAAATCTGTATGAAAAATAAAAAATATTATTTTCCTCGGTGGTATAGTAGTCTTGACTGTCGCAACGAGGGTCGTGGGTTCGATTCTCATATCGGACAATTAGTCGTGTGAAGGTATGCTTGCTCTTTGTTTAGCTGCTTATGTATTACTCTTGTGAGTCCGCGCGGGTAGGTGCAATGCAATTCGGTTTGAAGGGTGAGGCAGCCATTGTAACTATACTGAGACCTTAGAACTCATATCTCAAGGCGGGTGGCGGCATTTACGTTGTCTATAGCTCCGGTAATCACTTAACAACATATGGGCCGTGAGCTCGTCCACCAATCTAAGCAATAAAAAAAACCTAACGCCACTTGGGCTGTGAGTCGGACCATAGAACTATAAGGCAAAAGAGCAACATTGAGACAAAAATACGGAAGTTTATATTATGTTGCCATACCAGCGACCCGCCCTCACTTCGCTTCAAAAACTGTAATTTATTTTTGATTTCTCCCCTATTTAATGGATGATATTATACATACTAGAGGTCCCCCGGTAGTCGAAATTCGACTATAATTAATTGAAATTGTAAGTTTGTACACTACTATGGTTGTATTTTATACTTCTATTATCACAAATTCGCCAAGGCTACACTATTAAAAAATATTTATAAAGACAAACAATATTTAATCTATTCCCAGTTTGACAACAGACGCCAAGAACAAAAGTTTGACAATAAATAGTATGTATGCGTGTGTGCGTCAAATACATATTATGTAGTGTGTGTAATGTTTTCTTTATTGATTTGTTGTATCTTCTATGCATTATTTAAAAAAAAATTTGTATTGTGCACTTCTACTGTATATTCTCTATAAGTGTAGAAAATTTCGTACTCCTCCGTCCGCACAATTTTCGTAAAAAGGGATACAAAGTTTTTGCTTCACGTATTATAATATATAGATAAACCTTCCTCTTCAATCACTCTATCTATTAAAAAAAACCACATCAAAATCCGTTCCGTAGTTTTAAAGATATAAGCATACATAGGGATACAGGGACAGAAAAAGCGACTTTGTTTTATACTATGTAGTGATAAGTCGTATAGAAAGTGTTTATTATCTATATATTTTTGTGTTATTTTGAACGTTTCGAATGATTTACAGCTTTAGTTATGTCTGGCGACTGGAGAAGTTTCGAGATACTACTAGAAATAACATCAACAACTTAAAATAACATTATCCAGCAAGCTCGACTTACTGTATTACCGGATTTTTACGCTTATCCACTCTGTTGTTTTAAAAAAAAAAAAATCGGCATTCTTTAAAGTCGGTTTACTGACGATAGTTGAACGTGACAATAGATATTTTGTATGGATATAGAGAAAAGGAGGTAAATGGAAATTATTAATAAATAAATATTGGACCTATAAATATTGGACGAAAACATGTAAATGTATTATTGTATAGCAGCTGTCCACGCGGATGCATCGCTCACTCAAGTAGGAAAGACACAGATGTCGAACGCTGCCGAACGCGGAGGCCGATTGTGCCTCTTTGTCGCTCGTTGCGCGCTCTCGCTTACACTTCAAGCCTTAAATGGAACGCCTCAAAGCGAGGTAACGCCGCATGAGTCATGTTTTTTCGTGAGTGCAGCCGGCTCCATCGAATTATAAGACGTTTTCGCGTCAAAAAGGGAAAAATAAACTTACTTGTAATTATTAGGACATTGAGTTATAAAAATCGCGCAGCCCTTATCGATCAAATCAGACTTCTCGAAGACTGTCTTCTTGGGATAAAACTGAAACTTATACGGCTCCTTCTGTAACTTGTTGACGTAGCTACACGATACCGTCACCACAACTGGAATTACAAACGGTGTTAGCGACTGTTACCTGGTGTAGGATATTGACCCTAATGATCTAGGCATAAAGGCTCATAATCCATCGATATTCATTAGCTATGCAGACACTAAAATTGCTCTAGCAAATTCAGGAGCATGCGGTATTTTAATTGGGTGTGGCTCAAAAACATTCTGTAAAATGTTATTCTTTTTATTTATTTATTGCTTAGATTGTTGGACGAGCTGACCTGGTGTTAAGTGGTTACTGGAGCCCATAGACATCCACAACGTAAATGCGCCACCCACCTTGATATACAAGTTCTAAGGTCTCAAGTATAGTTACAACGGCTGCCCCACCCTTCAAACCGAAACGCATTACTGCTTCACGGCAGAAATAGGCAGGGTGGTGGTACCCACCCGCGCGGACTCACAAGAGGTCCTACCACCAGTAAAAGTTTTACAAAGTGTCAACGGAAACAGAATTACAATAACACGATGTAACAGATAAAAGTGAAATAAATAAAACTTACATACGAATATGATTATCCTGCGTAACATACTTGTATAGTATTCAATTTTCCGCCTATTTTAAATAGTAATTAAACTTAAATTCAATTAAGTTTTAATACCATTAAAAGTGTTCGCAGTGTAGTGGGTATGACGTCAAGTTTTTTTTATTTTTTTTTATTGCCTTTGTAGGCAGACGAGCATACGGCCCACCTGATGGTGAGTGGTTACCGTCGCCCATGGACTTCAGCAAAGCCAAGGGCAGAGCCAAGCTGCTGCCTACCGCTTAATACTCTCCACAAGCCTCGTTTGAAGAAGGACATGTCATAGCGCTCGGGAAACACCGTGGAGGGGAGCTCATTCCATAGCCGGATGGTACGTGGCAAAAAAGATCTCTGGAAACGCACTGTGGATGACCGCAGTGGCTCCAGGTAGTATGGATGAACTCTACTCCGGTGGCGGGCGGTGCGATGGTAAAAACGAGAGGTTGGTATCAAGTATACACAGCAGTTCCAGTGTCTACCAATTTTTGTACACGTCGTATTTTGTTTGTTGCTTTCGAAGACAGACTAGCTGTTTTTTCTTGTTCAGACGTGTGGAAGAGCTCACAGCCAACCTGGTGTTGGAGGTTACTGGAGCCCATGGACATCTACAACGTAAATGCCGCCATCGACCTTATGATATGAATTCTAAAGTCTCAGTTTTAACAGTACAACGGCTGCCCCATCCTTCAAACCGAAGCGCATTACTGCTTTACGGCAGAAATAAGGGCGGTGGTACCTACCCGTGCGGATTCACAATACGTCCTACCACCAGTAATTACGCAAATTATAATTGTGCAGGTTTGATTTTTATTACACGATGTTATTCTTTGACCGTGGAAGTCAGTCGTGAGCATTTGTTAATTACGTATTTCATTACAAAAATCAGTACCTCACTGCGGGATTCGAACACTGGCACAGTTGCGTCGCTCGATACGTATGCACTGGACGTCTTATCCTTTAGGCCACGACGACTACACCTTCTCAATATCGTACTACTGAATCATATACCGTCATTATCAAATTTAAAATACATTTCCGCTTATAATTTTTTTTTATTTATTACAATATATTGTTTACATTACTAATTAGATTATATTATAATAATATTATTATAGTGTAGTAGTACTACGTTAAACAATCTAAAACTAAGTAGTAAGAAGGACTTTTGGGCAGAGTAAGTCTAAAGACGCGAAATAATAAGACATCTCCAACAAGGTAATAAGTGAAGTGTGTCCTTCGTCCTTTGTCGTAGCACCTTACTTACGGAGCTCACTAAGTGTCATCGTGTAACCAACACTAGCCCCTACTTCTTCAAAATTCCAGACTATTCTTCCATTGTTCTATTAGCTTTTGAAGATATTCATGTTTATATGTCTGCGATACTATTGTCGATATTTCTGCTGTATTTTTGTCCTGGCGGCTAAGCAGTATCCCTGTTTCTCTATTTCTCTCTTTGGTCTCACAATCACATCCTTTCTATGATATTTCTTTTTAAAACTCTATCGCTCTATCTCACTCTGCTCTACTACGACGCTCTATCTAATTTTATTCGTCTTCCTTTGATTCAGAACTGTCGACTAGTCCTTTAGCCTTTTGGAGTACGTCGATTGCTGGGCCAGCGCTGATGATCGAATCGCGAACTCTCTGACCCACACCTTCCTGTAAATGTACAATTACTTCATAAATAAATCCGTCCAGCCCAAGCGTTTTAAACTCCTGAGATGTTTTTGGAACGAAGTTCTTTATGGGACGATGCGGAGGGGTACCCTAACCGGGAGAAAACGTCCGTAACGTAAGTTTTTTATTAGTAATGTACACAGTGTACGACTTAACTTTGTAATAACGTAAAAATTAGTAATGCACACAGTGCTGGACTTAACTTTGTAATAAAGTACAAAAAATAACATTTTTTTTATCATTCAATGACCACGATCTCAGAGCGTTCGTTTGCGCAATACACTAACTCTTATGCAAACAACCGTGAATGAAGTGTACCACAATAAGTTCGCATGTTACCGAATGGCCGTGGGTTGTTGCGAAACCTCCAGTTTTATTTTCTTTATACCTCGAATAAAACTTAAAATTAATATTTTTATAATAAGGAACTTCGTTCCTATCCGGTGTCCCACGACACCACACATCTTTTTGTGGTTTTGTTTTTATTTATTGCCCTTGTAGGGTAAACGATTATACGGCCTACCTGATTATGAGTGGTTACCGTCGCCCATGGACTTCAGCAATGCCAGGGGCAGAGCCAAGCCACTGCCCACCGTTAAAACTAAAATTGCATATATATAAACTATTATAAACGTCTATGCACTAAAGATAAATTGTCTATATTACATAATAAAATATTATAAAATTTAAGATTATTGCTTTTTTTTGGCACGAAGCAATTAGTAGAATCACCGATTATTAAAATTTGTATTGCATGAATAATATAAATTTATCATTATTTCCCTATACCAAGTCACTACGACAAAAATCTCTTGAAAAACAATATTTACACATCAGTCCTTAAGGACGCAAATGTGTTATGACATTCTATATAGATTTTTGTTTATATCCAAACCAGTGAAATTTGCGCTTAGTGCGAGTTTTTTTACTTCTCGTTCGCGTCAAAGTTAGCTCGAATTTGTATGGAGTTGGAACAGCTTATCTTTTTCTTGTTTTCCCCTACCTAAGCTGAGAGCCTTGAGAGGATATTTCAGCGTAACCTAACTAGTAGGTGAGCTCACGGGGCCCAAACCGACGTTGCTAACACGAACCCTAGCAAGAGCCGCGCTTCGCAGAATCTACCACCGGATGAGAAGATCCGGCGAGAAACTCAGTGGGCTGTGTCTGAGGGTACAGTTTTGCTTCGTCTGCGGCTAGGACGCGATCGAGGAGTTAAAAAACTCACACTAAGCACACAGGTCCTACTTCGCTGTGACAACTGACAAACGAAGTGGTACCAGACACATTAGAATTACTAATAGTATTAGTACGCCATCTCTGGGACATTGATGGAACGATGCAATATCAATTTTATCATTTTATCGATCATCTAACAAATCATCTCATCTGTGAACACAAAACCTGATAACAAAAAACGGAAGACTAAACACTAGAACAAGGAAAAGTAGTTTAATATCTGAGAATCGTAAAATCAACTTACAAACATATTGATTTTTTTTGGAAACCATTCTGATGCAATTCTTGAGGATTCGTGGGGATATTTGGTTTAAGCGCGTTTTTTGCAATTTTACAAGAGAGCCATTTAAAGTTTTAAAATTGGATAAAATATTATAGCATAAAAACTTCTTCAGCTATTTACGTGGTGCAAATGTAATTGACGTTCAATTTACTGGTGGTAGGACCTCTTGTGAGTCCGCGCGGCTGGGTACCACCACCCTGCCTATTTCTGCCGTGAAGCAGTAATGCGTTTCGGTTTGAAGGGTGGGGCAGCCGCTGTAACTTACTTGAGACCTTAGAACTTATATCTCAAGGTGGGTGGCGCATTTACGCTGTGGATGTCTATGGGCTCCAGTAACCGCTTAACACCAGGTGGGCTGTGAGCTCGTCCACCCACCTAAGCAATAAAAAAAAAAAAATACGTACTGTTGATGCTAATATCAAATAAAACGCACTTAATTACAAAGATAATTGGCGCGTACTATCGAAATGTCGCTTAAACCAAATAGCCTTTCTGCCCTCATACTGTACAAATTCTCAAAATACTATGTACATATTATTCAACTCATGACAATATAACGCTTCAAAGGAGAAACGTAAAAAAAAATTCAAAACTTACAAGCTCTTTAAAAAAGTCCCAAGCGGAAGCACAGCTCACAATCATTATGCAAATGATGGCGATAAATACTATTTTTGTAAAATACATTTTCGAAACGACTTGTGGGCTCTACGGAGTCTATCAATCGAATGATTAGCAGTAAGAATCAGTCGGGTTTTTATTCTTGGATCAAACTAAAAACACCAAAATATATTTACCTTCCATCGTGAACTTTGCAAAACAATTTAACCTTTATCACCGAACGCTAAGAACTATTGTATATTTCAATGAAATGCAAACTTAAGTTTGTAAAATTCAAGTATTGAATTGCGGTTGAAAATTGAAATCATATTGTTATGCTATTCAATAATAGTCTTTATTGGGTTGACAAAACGATCGTGTTTCTTCGTGAGATATCCATAGTAACGGTAAAACAAAAGTTCAAAATGTCATCGAAGCGACTGACCGCAGTAAAGTCCCGAACAGGCGTGTTATTGTTGATATTATAACATTTATCTTATTTATAGACTGTGTTATTTAATAATGACAAGTGGTCACTCGGTAATCGAAATTCGTATAATAAATTTAAATTATAAACTCTTCTATATCGTTCCCTCACTACTGAAGATCGCGACCATATGCGACGTACTTCCAATGTGCCCGATCATGGGTGGCATGGACTGCATGGTACAGACTACCACCGAGTGCTTCTCTTGCCAGATCTGACCATCTGGCTGGTGTTCTGCCCACGGCGCGCTTGCCCTCTATGCGACCCGTAATTATGAGCTTCTCTAATTCATGTCTGGGAGACCGCATCATGTGTCCGAAGAAGCTCATAGCACGTTCCCGGCAGATGGAAGAGAGTCTTTTTTCGGATGTCTAGCTGCCTTAGAATGGACTCGTTTGTTCTCATGGCAGTCCACGGTATTCGTAGCATCCTCTGCCACACCCACATTTCAAAGGCATCGATCTTTTTGATATTCCGGCTTTTTATGCACCTTGTCTCCGCCCCGTAGAGGAATATGGGAAAGATCAGTGCCCGCACCAAGCGCACTTTGGTTTTAGATAATACACATAATAATGTTCAACTTTTAAATTATAAAAGTTGAACATTATTATGATTCTATTGTCAGACTATTATACTTCTATAAACACAGATTTCGGCAAGACTACATTATAGATAAATAATATTAAAGACAAACAATTTCTATTTTCAATTTGATCACACAATAACAAAAGTTTGACAATAAACAAATAGTATGCATGCGTGTGTGTGTGTCAAAAAGATGGTAGTGTGTGTGTGTTTTTAATGTTTTTTTTAATTGATGTATGTATTTTTTATGCATGATTAAAAAAAATACAATATTCTGCACTCCTTCTCTATATTCTCTATAAGCGTGAGAAATTTCATACTCCTCCGTCCGCGGAATTCTCGTAAAAAGGGCCCAAAGTTTTTGCTTCACGTATACAATATGAACTGAGATACTAAATACTCCACTTTGTTTCTATTCAACAAAAGTTTTTTTCTTTTTGTTATTGCCCCTATAGGTAGATGAGCATACGGCCCACCTGATGGTGAGTGGTTACTGTCGCCCATGGACTTCAGCAGTGCCAGGGGCAGAGCCAAGCCGTTCCCTACCGAAAACTTTTTTTTCACAACAATTCTTCTTGAGTTGTTATGCTTCATTCTATCCGTGGTGGTTGGGATTTTTGTTTTTGGTCAGGAGGAAATCGCCGGAATTCCGCCCTCCTCTGGGGATGGCGAGAGGAGCATGTCGGAGTCGAACCGACTAAAACCTCCTGTCGCTCAATAACCAGCATCCAAAACTCGCCAGAGGCAGAACTCATGAAAAGGCAAAGGGGGGAAAGATCTCTCCCATCACCATAATCGTTATTGTTATTGCTCTGGATGGCTGAAACCTGTCACGGCCCATCTTGTACGAACTTTATTTATTAGATGGGTGGACAAGCTCACAGCCCACCCGGTGTTACGTGGTTACTGGACCACATAGACATCTACAACGTAAATGCGCCACCCACCTTGAGATATAACTTCTAAGGTCTCAGTATAGTTACAACGGCTACCCCATCCTTCAAACCGAAACGTATTACTGCTTCACAGCATAAATAGGCAGGGTGGTGGTACCTACCCGTGCGGGCTCACAAGAGGTCCTACCACCAGTAAAGAATATCAAATGCCAATTCGGGCATACCGTAACGCGGCGTACACACAGACAGACAAAACCAGCTACTTACTTTATGAGGTTGAACTTATTGTCATATGAAACAAAGTTTATCAAAGTCTGAATAAGTTCATGTAAGCATTTCGTGAGGTTCTTCCCTGCAATTGTTTCGAGTTAATGTCCAAATTATCAATTTATTAATTAAACAAATTTAGGATATAGTTCATAGTTGATAACAAGACACATGCAGTCTAAACCCAGAGTCATTATCCTAAATCAGACCGCACCATTTCAAATTCCTAATAAACAATCTTAAGCTATCTACTTATCTATACATATAAATAAAATTGGTGTGTATGTTTGTAATATTGAAATAGCCGCTTTTTACTACATGCATATGAATATATATACGGTACATACACCAAAATAACATTTTTTTAAATTTTTGTCTGTCTGTCTGTTTGTTCCGGCTAATCTCTTAAAGATAGTTTGAATAATTTTTTTTTTAATAAACTATACTAATTCGTTTAAATAATATTTGTTTTTATCTATTTTTTTATTATTTTTATATTATTATTTTTCTAGTTTTCGTAAAAAGGTCATACATACAAAACAAAAGCCATTGAGTTTATTGAGTCAGAGCTTCCTTGCACTGGTTGAGCCCTTGCTTTGTCTGAGCCCTTGCTCACCCTCCTGTCCTTGTGAAACTGGAAAGGCCACCAGTAAACCCACAATTATAAAAAAGCTACCCTGTGAACGATATTTGACGGAAATATGCTGACGCCACATTTTTTGTAAATGATAATGTGTTCTACAAAGCTATAGTAAATTATTTTATTCTATCATCAATAGTTTTCGCAGCGCACGCGATGTAAAGAATACTTTAGATAATTTTTTACACCTTGCGTTACATTATTGGAATTTCAGTAAGGATCCCTAATTTAAAAAAAAAGAATACAGCCTATATCACTCGGAAATACTGTAGCTCCTAAACAGTGAAAGAATTTTTTAAATCGGTTCAGTAGTTTCAAAGCCTATTCAAAACAAACAAACAAATCTTTCCTCTTTATAATATTAGTATAGATAATTAATGTTACATTTTCTGGAATAATTTAAGCTCTATCCTTGTCCGAGAGCTTTTGTTTGTGCCAGGGTTTTGACTGCTGGAGCCGCGCTGATGACGGCGTCTCGAACCCTCTGACCCATTTTTTCCTATTATAATAAAGTAATTAATTAGCACAATTTCAGTAATACTTCCAATACAACCTCACATAAAGATTTACTGTCACTAATTGCGTAAATTTAGTAATTTTTCTATAAATACCTTCATCGGGCAAGTCGTTCGTAAACACGTGTCAGGGATGCGTTTCCTTAGTAATATACTATGCCTGCCACCTGCTTGCAGATTTGAACACGCTTGAGTCAAGCCACAGCCGCTTTTAGTAGAAGTAGCGACTTATTAGCTGCACATTCCGTAGACAGCATTTCGGACCAACGTATCAATTTTGCAAGAACTCAATCTCCTGGCGGCTGTCATCCGAGTGTCTTCGCAGAGTCCTTGAATACTTCGGTCACATTGCACGGAAGAATGGTAGCAATCTCGAGAGGCTCATCGTGACCGGTAAGGTAGATGAGAAAAGACCTCGGAGGCGCAGCCCAATACGTTGGTCCGACCAGATCCGTACCGCTCTTGATTCCACGTTTCACAACGCCCTCCACACCGCCAGAGACAAGAATAAACGGAGAAAGATCGTGCGTGATACAAAAGGGTGGTCACGACCCTCAGCAATGAGGAATACGACGCAAGGAGGAGGAGCGACTTAGTAATATATTTTTTTTCGTACCTATTCTAGACATCTAAAAGGGTCATGCTAGGTTCCCTGTTTTTTTTTTTCCTACCTATGCTGATGGCCTTGAGAGGCTATTTCAGCTTCATCCTAGTGTGTAGGTGAGCTCTCGGGGCTCAAGTTGACAATGATGCTATCACTGGCCCTAGTAAGAGCAGTGCTTCGCAGAATCTACCACCGGATCGGAAACGCGATCCACTGAGAAGATACAGCGAGAAACTCAGTGGACTGTGTTTGAAGGTATAAAATCATAAGATATTTGCATTCTTATGATTACATCGGGTGATTTAGCTATTGTGTAGCCTAATGATTCAGATATAAGTCTGAACACAGGAGTACTGCTCCGAAACTACAAATAAGATTTCAATAGATTACAGTTCAATATAATCTTTAACCCGCGCACTCGTAGGGAAGAACCGTAGGAACAAAGACCTCAGGAGAGCAATGCAGACGTCCTTATTTACTGACAATATGGTTCAATTTCGCATAGCCCCAAGAAACAGGTATTATCAGCGAGACAGTATAAAAGCGCATCCATGTCAGTAGAGCAGTATTCAGTTCGTTGCAGCTCGTACGTTGAGTTTCGATTTCGCGAAAATACAAAATGAAATTCTCGAAAATTTTCGTTTTCGTGTTCGCTATTGTTTTCGCCACGGCTTCGGTCTCGGCAGCTCCCGGCAACTTCTTCAAGGATCTTGTGAGTATTGTCCTAGATGTTAGCGAATCCTAGATTGAAGTGAAGAAGCCACTTTCGCTGTTTGATCGCGCCACTCACTGTAAAATACGTTTGAAACGGTATATTTTTAAAAATATCTTTTAATTTACCGCCTTCGTAGATTGTGGCTTATTAATCCAACTTCCACATCGGTGAAGGTGATAGAAAATTTACCTTTTATTTATTTATTAGATGGGTGGACAAGCTCACAGCCCACCCGGTGTTAAGTGGTTACTGGAGGCCATAGACATCAACGACGTAAATGCGCCACCCACCTTGAGATATAAGTTCTAAGGTCTCAGTATAGTTACAACGGCTACCCCACCATTCAAACCGAAACGCATTACTGCTTCACGGCAGAAATAGGTGGGGTGGTGGTACTTACCCGTGCGGACTCACAAGAGGTCCTACCACCAGTATTAATCCAACTTCCACATCCAACGGTGAAGATGGTGAAAAATTTACCTAATATATTAAGTGTCGTTTTAATCTAAATCAATTTATTATTCTGAATTATGCATTTTGTTGCCCAGTAAAGAACGGCTTAGGCATTAAGCCCGCCAATGTGAAAAATAAATGAGATGTAATTAATAAATAAATATTATTAAATCTTGGATCTGGGAAACATATAGATATGCATCATTTTTTAAGCTATAGTTGACTAGACGTTTTGATCTGGAGCTAAGTGGTATGTGAATCCAAATGGATTTTTACCACATAAATATGTCCATAGACATTACGTGGTGAAAATCCGGCTACCTGGATTGGTGTTTCATTTTGAATTATAAATTAAAGAATCAAGGTTTTTTTTTTTTATTTCCTACCTATGCTGATAGCCTTGAGAGGCTATTTCAGCTTCGCCCTAACGTTAGTAGGTGAGCTCGCGGGGCTCAACCGGAGAGTTGCTAACACTGACCCTAGCAAGAGCAGTGCTTCGCAGAATCTACCACCGGATCGGAAACGCGACCCACTGAGAAGATCCGGCGAGAAACTCAGTGGGCTGTGTCTATGGGTTAGTTCGCTCGTCGAGCCCTTCGTCGCAAGCGACGGGTTCGACGAGGACGGTGACCGGTGCTTGTGGTGCCTAAAAGCACCGTTAATGGATCAGGAGGATCCGTAATGACGTGCTTTGGGCGACGTCGACGGTTTACCATTCGGTCTACTGGGTCGGGTATGTAATTTCCAGCGGCTACGATGAGAGGGTTCTCATGTCGTGCCGCCTTCTCAAAGTGGCGCAGCGATGCCGACTGTAGATACTTACTAAGAGAGTCGAGCTCCAGGTCATCGTGGAGATCCACATTCCTAAGGAACCATGGTGCTCCGACGGCTATCCTGCAGAATCGTGATTGAATAACCTGAAGGGATTTCAAGTGGGTGCGGGCTGAGTGAGCGAACACTACGCTTGCATACGTCATGACGGGTGAATCAAGGAAAAATAGCACACGGCCATCAGCTAGCTCCAAGCTATGATCCCCTGTACTATGAAAACAGGATATTGCTAAACATACATAATTGTACGATTTAATATATGCATATATGTATACAGATTCTACATACTCTAATTACCATGCAAAATGCAAACAAACAGCGTCACACGATTGCTTTTCCGATGTCGGATTCGAACCCACGATCGCTAACTCAGCAGTCAGGGCGCGAAATACAGCGCCACCCATTCACCATATTGTATTGAAATTGTGCTAATTAATTGCTTTATTATAACAGGAAAAAATGGGTCAGAGGGTTCGAGACGCCGTCATCAGCGCGGCTCCAGCAGTCGACACCCTGGCAAAAGCAAAAGCTCTCGGACAAGGATAGAGCTTAAATTATTCCACAAAATGTAACAACATTAATTATATTGAATAAAGACAAAGATTATTTTATGTTTTCTTTTTTTGGAATGAAATTCCTTATGGAACGATGCGGAGGGGTACCCTAACCGGGAACAAACGTCCGTAACGTAAGATTTTTTCTATTTAGTTTGTTATCGACAGATGTCGCTGCACGTAAATTCGACAATTCCTGAATCGCGGTGACGAGATGCTACACAGTTGATAGACGTTCTCATATTTCACTAATCTCTTGCTAAATCATACTTACCTAGCGTAGCGGATATTGTGATCATGCAGGCTGTTCCCCAGGATGAGGCTGCTCCGTTGCACTGTGGAGTGGTTGACCCACCCTTGCGATTATTTTTATTTTTATCAATAAAAAATCATAATAAAAAATTTAGAACCGAATAATTACTTTCTATATACCTCGAATAGAAGTTAAAATTAATATTTTTATATTATGGAACTTCGTTCCTATCTGGTGTCCCACGACACCACACATCTTTTTATTGGAAGTTTTACAATGTTCAAGACTAAATTATGATTATGTAATTAAGCCAACATGAGCTGTATTGTTAGGATTATACGGGTGCTTTTATTTCTGAATGAAGTGAATGCTTTGATTCGAACTTGTCTTTGAGATAGGAGGTCTTATTTTCACTTGGCCCTTATAAAGGAGCGCTCCCACTATTCATACATATGGGTGGGCACATCTGGACGCATGCTACCCTTAACGACCACCAACGGCTGAAGTCACTGAATTATCAAGTATTATTATGCAATGCTATTCCTTCATCCCGGAATTATTTTATAAAGTATTCAAGTAAAGATCTTGGAGAGTACTTAACGGTAGGCAGCGGTTTGGCTCTTCCCCTGAAGTCCACGGGCGATGTAACCACTCACTGTCAGGTGAGCCGGATGCTCATCTGTATACAAGGGCAAATAAAAATAAAAATAAACTTCGTAGGAACAGCAATCCGAGCTCATAGTCCGTTTGAAATAAAGCAGCTTTTGGATGTCTAATCCACTAGACCAGGGATTCCCAAACTAATTTGTGAAAATGGCCCCTTTTCAAAAATGAAGCAATACCTCAGACCTCATAGCCAAGTTAATAATCCTATTCAACTAGCATAGTTTTTGATATTGTACTTACGAACTTATTCTTTTTGGAGACTGGGAGGGATTACTGGTGGCTTTGGGGATGTCCCAGTTCCACCACGACAAGCGGGTTCATGCTTATCTACCGGTTGAAGTTTTTTAAAGTAAAGCAAAGATACTTTTTACTAAAATATGCATCATTCTTATAACAATTTCGTGCACGTAACACCACTTATACACTATCTTGAAAGACTCGAAAGACTCAAGAACTTCTAACAATTGATATGGGTCGATTTTTAGACCTCATGACCATTTTAGACCATACTAAGTCAATATAGGGATATTGACAGGGTATATGGACAGGGGTCCATCTTGAAAAATACAGTCTTAACACATCGAACTTGTATCACTGATCTCCTACTCATGAGTCTACTTAGCATAATTACTGCGTATGAGGAAAATACGTAATGTTGGTAACAAGATCTGCGAGCTTGTAACACCACGGTTTCTTCCAAGAGCTACGGTATTTCTTTCGTCAAATGATATTCAAGGAGAGCCTTATGCAATGAGCAGTACCTTCTATGCATCCCCGACGTTGCTCATATCAATGTCATGTCAAGATAGCCGTACACTCGTCTGCCTTTGAAGACATAAGAAAATCTAAAGCTCATGTTGTACCTCACAGACGGACTTATTCTTTTTGGAAACTGGGAGGGATTACTGGTGGCTCAGAGGATGTCCCAGTTCCACCAGGTCAATCGGGCACACGGTTATCGACTGGTTAACTGAACTTTTAAAGTACAACAAAGATACTTCCTACTAAAATATGCGTAATTCTTTTAACAGTTTGGTGCACGTAACACAACTTATACCTACACTATCTTGAAAAGCTCGATGTTTCAATCAAGAACTTCTAACAATGAATAGGAGTCGATTACTAGACCTCATCGACTAAAACTAGGAAAATCGATATCGACCACATTGGGATTTCGTCCTTTAGAAAGTATTTAGTAGTAGATAGTGTCCATCTTGAAAAATACAATCTCAACACATCGAGCCTGTATCGCTGATCTACTCATGAGTCTTCTTAGCATTACTGTGTATAGAATAGACATTAGGTTAGTAACCAGATTTGCGAGCTTGTAACACCACGGTGTCTTCCAAGAGCTATGGTATTTCTTTCGTCACATGAGATCCAAGGTGAGCTTTACGGAGCGAGCAGTACGTTTGAATTTTTGCTAATTACTAATTACTTGGCGTTGCTAATTACTCGGCGAATTCCATAGTCGCATTTTATATGATACTTACAGGTTGAGATTAGAACATAGTACTATACCAGTGAATACCACATAGTCACTGTTAATACCAGTCACATTTGGCATATTATCCTATGTCAGGACAGTGCTGATCCAGATCGACAGAGCCATAACGTACATAACCTTTCAATTTCGAACTGAAAATGATTACCAAATTCCGCTGAACGTCAAAGTATGCATCACTCGTTGCGATGTTCATAAAATGCCGGCATATCACAAAAACGTGAGGCCCAAGAGCTTGCGACAGTTAATCAGCAAGCATTTCGCATCCAACGTGTATAAACTCTAAGAGACATGAATAAACATACCAACAGCTGAACATCGATACGTTTTACAAGACACAGGGTTATTGTCTATTTTATTTAAGAATATAAGCATTGCTGAGAGGCCTCTATAGCTTCATAGATGGGTTAGGCTGAGCTGAAAGAGACCTGATAGCACAAGGGCAGCTGCCTCGCGAAGCACGCCCCGCTGAGGTGTTCCGGCGAAAAACTCCGCAGGCTGATTCTAGAGGCTAAGTTTTACGTCAAACTCTTCAATGACTTCAACAGTGGTTAGGGTCCCTATTCCTGATTCTAGTGTTAGAACTGCAGGCGTTTTATGAAATTGTTAGTAGATAGGATGAAAAAAAAGATTGGAAGGTATCGCTTCTTGACCAAGTCTTGCAAATTTACTCGCTAACATAAGGGAATTGATCTCTGCCTAATTCAACACGCAGTCGATCTACCAATGACAGACATTAGATACAATTTTATTTGTGGTATTTTAAATTTTAATTGTACTTTTCACTTATAGTAAAATGAATGAGATTACTAATTAAAATCAATGTTAATTATGTCTACGTCACATATAACATGTCATTTAATACAATGTTGATGTCAAATGCATTATCTTACGTCCATTAAGGATGAAATATGAAATTGTGGAAGAACTAACAATGCTACTCTATTTGCCAAACCTTTAGGAGTTTTCTTTGAAAAAAGTTCTTATTAGTCTGTATTTATAATAGATCAGTAGATAGCTTAAGATTGTTTAAGAGGAATTTCAAATGGTGCGGTCTGATCTAGGATGAATCTGGGCTTAGACTGTATGTGCCTTGTTACCAACTACGAACTATATTCTAAAGGAGACTGAAACGCTTACATACATTTTTGGGCCCGAATGTAACGTGATGAAACTAATATGAATTAATAGATTCAGGTTTATCAGAACCCTGCTGAAAATTATAAAAGTTTTCTCAATCTGAGAGCAGAGTTAATAAAGATTTAGTAAAAGTTAGGTTATGTTACAATCTCTTTAAAAGAGCTGAATAATAACTTATTTAATCATAAGTAAATGTTTACTATATCCATTGGATAATCTTTTAAATGTCATATTATGAATGAATATCAATGATATATATCAGGTATGGAATATGGAATTGCTATCCCACAATTCACACAGCGATCCATAATTTCAACAGTATCCAATGCAACAATTTCAAGTCAAACGTGTGAGCGATCATCGGTGTCCAGTGTAGAAGCAATTGTCGTACAAGGCTGGCAGAGTTGGAATCCGTAATAATAAAGCAGTGATCGTTGAAAATATAAAAACAGCCCGATAGATACACACTCAAAATGCGTCGAAGATACAAAACGAGTAGAGCAGAAAAAACCAACAAGCGCCAAAAAATAATTGTATAATCTATGAACAAACGTCATGTCAGCTTACTNAAAATATAAAAACAGCCCGATAGATACACACTCAAAATGCGTCGAAGATACAAAACGAGTAGAGCAGAAAAAACCAACAAGCGCCAAAAAATAATTGTATAATCTATGAACAAACGTCATGTCAGCTTACTGTCAAAGCTGTCATCAAAAATACAATCGATTTTAATCGATTTGAAATCGATAATCATATTACTTTGTTACGTAATAATAGACTTTTTCTTCATTTATGTATATAATCGCAATTAAATCCGGCGTATACCGCACTAGTATACAACAAGTATAACAATTTAATTACTTTGCATTAATTACCTAGTGCAATGTTTTTCTTTTTATAATCCTGTAATCGATTAATTAAATCGATCACACCGTTATACCGACAAAAACTAACTTTCTCATTTTTCTCCGGTCCCAGAAAGAGGATTGAGGTGATTTTTTATATTCTTATATAAAAAAATATGACAAATTTTTTAGACTACAGTCCAAGTTATTACATTTTTGGCCCACGATTTTCCGTCTCCTTTATTTAATTAATAATATGATAATTAGGACATTAACTCGAAACGATTGCAGGGAAGAACCTCACGAAATGCTTACATGAATTTATTCAGACTTTGATAAACTTTGTTTCCTATGACAATAAGTTCAACCTCATAAAGTAAGTAGCTGGTTTTGTCTGTCTGTGTGTACGCCTCGTTGCGGTTTGCCCGAATTGGGATTTGATATGGTTTATGTCATGAATCCAGAAATTTCTTACTAAAGTCTAAACATTGGTGGTAGGACCGCTTTATTGGTGGTAGGACCACTTGTGAGTCCGCGCGGGTAGGTACCACCGCCCCGCCTATTTCTGCCGTGAAGCAATGATGCGTTTCGGTTTGAAGGGTGGGGCAGCAGTTGTAACTATACTGAAATCTTAGAACTTATATCTCAAGGTAGGTGGCGCATTTACATTGTAGATGTCCATGGGCTCCTGTAACCACTTAACATCAGGTGGGCTGTGAGCTCGTCCACCCATCTAAGCTATAAAAAAAAAAAACACTTCCTAATCATGGACTGCAAAGGAAAGTCAATTTTTGTTTGTGACACCAAAAATATCACATTGCTTGGTTAAGATTCTAAGACATTATAAAATTACAAGCCGATAAATACTTCATTTGCATGTAATTTTCATCTAATCTATGTGTAGACAGTCGCCGGTTTTCGTGGAAGTCAGTGCAGAGTCGAATGGAAACCGCAAATCGATCTGTGAAACGTACTATGGATAAGTGTGCGTTGTATTCCAAGAACTTCTCTCCAGTACGGGAGTGTGATGTTATAGGGAGATGATGGAATTAGGTCGAGCAATTCCTCAGGACACGCTTCATGGAACATTGACGTAAAAGAGAAACCAAACATTGGCGCTCCCATAAACCAAACTGAGTGAAAACTCATCAGTTACGAACGAGTTCAACATCTGAATTTGGACAATTCTGTGTGGAGTCTTTATTAGGAGAGGTACTGCCTAGTCTTGAAAGCTTTTGAAAATTCATTCAAAGATGCCTTTTAAAACCGTGTCGTAATTAAAATACATAAAATGAATTCAACAAAAAACGTTACAATGTGTCTTTGTTCGCTCATTAAATAACCGTCTCAATTATAAAGATTTTCTTATAATATGTTTGATACCTTTCCTGCTTAGAATTTTTGATAGTCGATGGAGAGGAGTAGTCCTTTTGTGGTCGCAAATGAGTATATTTTGTACCCGAGCTCAAGGTCATATTAACGTGAACACTGCATCCAAATTGAGGCATTCGCTCGAAGTATAGATTGCATTGTATAATTACTGTCTACCCTCCAAATCATAATGCTTGTGGTGATACGGCAATATAGTACAATGACCCATAGAATGAGAGGCATGTTAATATTATACAAGCATACTGTTACCGCCAATTGGTATTTTTACCAATCTGAGAGCTTTTCATTAGCCAGCTTGAGCAATTACCAGCATCCTACCTATTACTGCTGCTAAGCCGTTATGAGCCTCGCTTTGAAGGGTGAGACCGCCATAATAATTTTAACCTCGTGTCTGTGGGAGTCTGCGTTGACAGTGAAGTTGCGGTCACAGTCTATGCAATAACATTAAAAAACAAAACTTGGAAGTTTCTTGCCTTATCATTCAGGCGATCGAGGGGGCGGCTTCCTTGCTGGCTTACAAACTACTGAACCACCATGAAACGAGGGACTTTCTTTCATCATGTGAGCATCAGTCGAAGGCGATAGTCATGCGACTGTCCACGCTGAACAAAACCCTTATAGTTCAATTTAACAAGTTTGGTTCCAAACTTTTCCAATCTGCAATATTGTTTACATTAATTTTGAAAACTGATTATTTTCAAAATCTATGTCATTTCTATAGTTTGACATCCGAAAAACCAATTTCATTTGAGCTTTCATGGGCACATGTGATTTGGCGAGGATTGACGTGTATATAGCTGATATCGCTGACTGGCGGAGATCACTTATCATCAGGTGCACTATTCATTTGTTGACCGACAACGGCAATGGTGTTTCCCGAGCGCTATAACATGTCTTTCTTCAAACGAGGCTTGTGGAGAGTACTTAACGGTAGGCAGTAGCTTGGCTCTACCCTTTGGATTAATGAAGTCCATGGGCGACGGTAACCACTCATCGTCAAGTGGGCCGTACGCTCATCTGCCTACTAAATAATGCAGTAAAAAATTAAAAAGAAAAGCAAGTCGCGACAAGCGAAGTCACGAGCGCCGCTGTCTCACGCGTAAATAGCACTTTGATAAATTATTATTTCATCAACACCTCTTGACTATATAAAGCCCGCAGAAGCATCGATCTACATATTGTGTTCCTGACTCGGTACTCGAACCCCGCTTTAGTAGAAAAATCAAAATGAATTTTACGAGAATCATATTTTTCTTGTTCGTTGTTGTTTTCGCGACCGCATCAGCGAAACCTTGGAACATCTTCAAGGAAATCGTGAGTACAGATTCGTTTGAATTCAATTGTTTTATAGAAAATACGGTTTTGATGAGTCGAGTGGCTCCCGGACCCCAAAGGGCCATAGAGCCAGGACATTTGACAAAATCCCTGAGTTCTGGACTAAGTCGCGGTCCCAAAGCCTAATTCGATAAACTCATTCTCACGGATCGCTTGGAACCTCTGAGTATGCGGAGGGTTTTCGCTTCTCTCTGTATTTTGTACCGTATTTTCTATGGGGAGCGCTCTGAGGAATTGTTTGAGATGATTCCATCATCTCGTTTTTACCATCGTACCGCGTCACCAAAGTAGAGTTCTTCCATACCAACTGGAGCCACTGCGTTTATTCACAGTGCGTTTCCAGGGATCTTTTTTGTCACGTATCACTGGACTTCCTCCAAGCCACCACTAAACCCACCCACTTTTCAAAAAGAATAAGTTCGTGCGTACAATAGCAAAAACTCTGCTAGTCGAATAGGATTTTTAATTTGGCTATGGGCTCTGAGATATTGCTTCATTTTGAAAAAGGGGTCATGTTCCCAAAAAAGTATGGGAATACTTGGTCTAGTGGATAACGCATCCAATAACTGCTTTATTACAGAGGGACCATGAATTCAGAGTGTTCCTACGAAGTATCCTTACTTGAATACCTTAGAGTGCTATGCCAACTGAGGTTCTATGCTTTGTAAAATATTTCTAGCTATTCAGGTTTATAGAAAATCTAAATAATTTTGTGACTTTTCGAATAAGATTACCTCTCTGTCGAACCGTTATGATTTCGAATAAATACTTAAAAATATCTGGCAGAAATTTCGATGTCGGTTTGGGCAATGTTTTATGAGTTTAGTGTATTTTTCTAATGACAATTGGAGATTCTCCGTTGTCACCAATCTTTACTGAGGGTATGAGGTATTAAAGCATCCGTCACATGACTCCGATCTGATGTCTCAACGTGGGCGGTATTCATGCGGCTAATTCATCAAGGTTTCGATATCTACTCGAAGGTCGCAGTCTAACAGAAATAACTAAATAACTTTATACTGTTTTTCCTCGGCTTCCGCTCGTCGTTGACACAAATAGATATCCTGTTACGGCTTAATCTCCTGTTTTATTTATATACTTTATACTACATATTATTAGCGATCTTTCGTATATTGAATTAAAAAAATTATATGTGCTAATTAATTCGCAAAAGTAGCTTTAATTAGCACTGTACTGTTAAGATCCTGTCAGAAATCCTTGTCTTTCAGGAGCGCGCTGTGGCGAGGACGCGCGACGCCGTCATCAGCGCGGGTCCGGCGGTGGCGACGGTGGCGGCAGCTACCTCCGTCGCGTCTGGCTAGATCCAGCACACCGGTCCCCATCACAGCTCGCAGACTGACGTGACCAGCTTGAACCTCGCACAACTATTTCGGAACAGCATTTCCCCCTGTTAATTAAATCAAGAGAACTCTATTGGATGAAATTCGTGTTAAGATACAAATGGCATGTCGAGTGGGTTTGTTTTATTCGATCAGGTCAGCTCGCGTTCACAAATTGCTTTATATATAAGTAGAATACAAATATTTCAGAAGTACATACTTATAATGTATAGTGTATCATATAGTAATAGTTCAGTTTGTTTATGACTCCAATAAAAGTGCCTTTTGGAGATATTAATAAAAAGAAAAAAGTTTAAATGTATTTTTATTGATAACTTTCCTTCAACCTTTACTGCGGAGTATAAAGTATCCATGACTTGACACTCATTGATGATCGTGTGCTCCAACTGAGTCGTGAGATTGTCACTCGATAGGCAGAGCAATAAACGTTATGCTGTTAACGCTGTGAATAAGGTGCATTTAAATTTCAATCGTGGGGGTTTGCGAAATTCTTTTACGGCACTCCTAATGCTCCACGTCCATGGCGCCACCACGGGCCGGGAGTAGGTACTCTTTGTTTTTCCTACCTAGTAACTACCTAGTAATAAATTCAGGGCTGTCATCGAACTATTAAGGCTCCCGCAAACTGCAGACTTTCTATCGGCCGATAGTTTGGTCGGGCAGGGCTGTTAGTGCGCACATTGGGCCAACAAAACAGTCGGGTCGGACTACACTAGCTCAACAATCAGGCGACTATTCTCGAACGATTATACTGGTTTGTGGCTGAATGTTGAAGAGAACGTTTGCACAATGAAAATAAATACAACATTATCCAGAAACGTTATTATTGCTCTCATACAACGGAGGAGGAAAGCCAAAAAGAGATTCCGAGAGTATTGGGTGCATCCTCAGTAATAGGATAACTTAGTGGAAAATTTTACACAATGCATTCCGAATTACTTGATTACCCGATTTTTTTTTGCCTTTTATCCAATCAGTATAACCGGCTTTGTCAAGATAATTGGACCAGAAATAGCGAAAGAGTATACAAACTTAAGACTCTTCGCTAAAACTCAGGGCTAACTGAACTATCAGTTTTTGAAGTCGTCGTGGCCTAAAGGATAAGAGGTCCGGTGCATTCGTATCTAGCGATGCACCGGTGTTCGAATCCCGCAGGTGGGTACCATTTTTTCTAATGAAATACGTAATTAGCAAATGTTCACGATTGACTTCCACGGTGAAGAAATAACATCGTGTATTAAAAATCAAACCCGCAAAATTATAATTTGCGTAATTACTGGTGGAAGGACCTCTTGTGAGTCCGGACGGGTAGGAACCATCACCCCGCCCATTTCTGCCGTGAAGCAGAAATGCGTTTCGGTTTGAAGGGTGGGGCAGCCGTTGTAACTATACTGAGACCTTAGAACTTATATCTCAAGGTGGGTGGCGCATTTACGTTGTAGATGTCTATGGGCTCCAATAACCACTTAACATCAGGTGGGCTGTGAGCTCGTCCACCCATCTAAGCAATAAAAAAAAACTGAACTATCAGTTTAGTCGGCCGACTAAACAATCGGCAAGTGTGCGGGCGGGGTAGAGCGCCGTACCGATCAAGCGTTGGGACTTATTGGCGGGAACGCGAAGAGTGAAGTTGTGTGATTTGTTTTATTTTGTCTATTTAGTGTTTCTTCAGGCTTAAATGTGGTAACGGTGGTTTATTAACTGTTTAATATCTGTGAAAGTGCACAAATGTGGGAAAATGAAACAAAGCTGCTGGACGTAGCTTCTCGAGATCCTCCAAAAAGTCCACTGAAAAAATCTCAGTAAATGACCACGTTTTACTAAATTTATATTTCATCCCATATCATCTCATTTCATTTGATTTCATCCCAGTTGATTAATCATCATTTCATTTCATTTATCTCCATGTTATTATCATTTTTCATTAAAATAAGAATATAAATTAAAATAAGACATGACTTAAAGGTCTTAGTCACCAGGTCATAAAATCCCATAATTTTTTTATCAAGCGTTCGGCCGTCAGTTGACTGACAGTTTAGTTTGAAGGCAATCTGGAATCCCATCAGACTGATTCATCGGCCGATTAGTAATCGTTACGATTTGCGCACTTGCATACATCTCCATACTGATTAAGACGCCGACTTAATTATCGACCGATAGAAAAACTGTTGTCTGCGGGGGCTATAAGACAATTAATAATTTTACGCCAGTAAGGGTAACGCCATCTATCGTCGAATAGTCGAACGAATATCGAAGGACCTAGAAGTGCCTAGAACGCCCGAGAAGTACATCGCCATCTATTGACAGATAGCGGAAACTACTACTAGAGATGTGTGGAATATTCCCAATAATTCTAGGGATTAGGTATCGGCTATGAAAACGTACAGATGGCACGCAGTCAGTCAGTAATCGGAACTACTCGAAGCGAAACAGCGAACGGATTACCTGAAGCGAAGCGAATTGAGAATTTTAAAGTGTTTGTTGAGTGTTTTAAGTGTTGAATACAGTTTTTAGTTGTATTTTGGTGGAATTTTATTTATCCCGAACCCCAGCGCGTAGCAATAAATTAGTTTTTGTATGAAATAGTTTACGAATTATAATTTTTATATTTTTAATGTAATCTACATTGTCGATACTTTAGCCACGGTCTTGATTAACCATTATGTATGAAAGTTTGTATGTTGTGATTACCCATAGTACGAAAAACCTTATAATGAATAAAGGAAATTTTAAAATAGTTTTTCTAATGTCAGTATATTGCGTCCCTACCTTTGATGAATATTATTTGAACACTAAAGAATAAGTTTGTTTTTCGATGGAGCAATTAGGTTGTTTAATGGAAACAAAAATTCAAAATAAAGAAATTATATTTTTAAATAATAAATTAAGAAGTCTTTCACAGTCTATCGAGCGGTTGATTGTAAATAATCAAATTGTTTTTTTTTTTCTTATTGTCTTTTTTCTTTTTATTTCCCGTGAGCGATGGTCGCCGCCTGCCCCACCACCGCAACAGCTGGTCCAGCCTTGATTATCCCATCACGAATGTTCTGACCCACTTTTTCCTGCAACACAAATAACAACAATATATAATCTGCGGAAGCCTTAGGCCGTGGCTTAAGATGTCCGGTGCATTCGTGTTGGGCGATGCATCGGTGTTCGAATCCCAGGCGGTTACCATTTTTTCTAATGAAATACGTACTCAGCAAATGTCCACGATTGACTTCCAGGGTAAAGGAATAAGATCGTGTAATAAAAATCAAACCCGCATAATTATAATTTGCGTAATTACTGGTGGTAGGACCTCTTGTGAGTCCGCACGGGTAGGTACCACCACCCTGCCTATTTCTGCCGTGAAGCAGTAATGCGTTTCGGTTTGAAGGGTGGGGCAGCCGTCGTAACTATACTGAGACGTTAGAACTTATATCTCAAGGTGGGTGGCGCATTTACGTCGTAGATGTCTATGGGATCTGGTAACCACTTAACACCAAGTGGGCTGTGTATAATAATAAAAAAAAACTTACGATTTTCTTGAAAATCTTCCATCTCGGTTCCGGAGCGGCCATAACGCTCGCACACACCAAAAACACGGCGAAAACGTAAAACAGAGCTCTTGAGAAATTCATTGTGACTCCAAAGAATACGTTAGTTGAGAGGCGATGTCAAACAGTGGAATGCAACGCTGCGAATGAGGCTCTACCTGGCTGACGCGTCATTTATACCTGAAAACTACAAATGTCCATACCCGTCTTCGAGTGGTTTGCTTATTGATTCTAATCTCAATGTTGTTGAGATAAGATAGTACTTTCTCTCAAGAGCTTTTCAATGCAGCGCAGCGCTGTTGTAACTTGATCGAGGGGATCCCCTAAGTCCAAACGTACAGATGCTTTCTAATTTGTTTTTCGTTTGTATATGAAGTCTGAGTCATGGTTTACGCCTTAATCGTGCGCCGAATGCAAATTAGAAAAAACATTGATACACTAGCGACACAGTTTCATTCTATTGTAAGCTGTTGTAAGCTGTAATGTAGCTATCTTAGCTCGCTTAGAAAGACTGCTTTGTGCGTGCGACTCATAATACAACTTCGCATATTATATATTACTAGTGGACCATAATTATTAATTTAAATTAAAAGATTGAACATTATTATGTTTCATTGTCAAAGAATTTACTTCTATAATCACAGATTTAGCCCAGGCTACATTAAAGACAAATATATTTTTTTATTGCTTCTTAGGCTGGGCGAGCTCACAGCCCACCTGGTCTAAAGTGGCTAATGGAGCCCATAGACATCTACAAGGTAAAAGCGCCACCCACTTTGAGATATAAGTTCTAAGGTCTCAGTATACTTACGACGGCTGCCCCACCCTTCATACCGAAACGCATTATATGCGTACCCGCGCGGACTCTCGAGAGGTCCTACCACCAGTAAGAAAATTGTGTTGTGTATTCTCTCTCTCTCTCTCTCTCTCTCTAAAAGCATTATAAAAAAAAGCGATTTCTAAATAACTTCGAAAACATTCACTTATTGTAATAATCGAATAAGTAATGTAAGGAGTATTCGAGATATTTAGATTATGTTAATTACAGTGAATTCTAAAATTCTCACACGTCGTCAAGTAGAACATTTTATAAATATTTTGTAGTTAATGGGAATATTTTATGATTACCGGTATGCAGTAAAAATCTTTAAACTCATACAGTAGGTATAATTGTTTCGCAACGACAATCTTCAAGATTGTGATGTATATTTTATAAAAAAAGCATATAAAATAGTGACAGTTATTAATAATTATGCTTTATGCTCCCCTCTTAATTGGGAAGTAGAGATGAGACATCCATTTTACATTAGAGTTGAGACTTAGATCTTTTGTCACAAGATGTGAAAATGGGTGGTGACATAATGACAGGTAATGACAATAATAGTTTTCGCTAACAATTTAACATCACATGGTCCGTGATATTGTTCACACATCTATGTTAAATAGTGGCCCCCTGGTAGTCGAAATTCGACTAACTATAATTAATTGAATAATTGAAAATTGAATACTATTAAACTTCTACAATTACAGATTTTGCCAAGACTAACTTAAAGACAAATAGGTATTAGTAAAGACAAACAATATTTAATCTTTTTTTTTAAGAGATTTTATGACCTGGTAACTGAGACCTTTAAGTCATGTCTTATTTTACTTTATATTCTTAATTTTATGAAAAATGATAATATGGAGTGAAATGAAATGAAGATGATTAATTTGAAACATTAATCAACTGGGATGAAATTTAATGAAATGAGATGATATGGGATGAAATATAATCGCAGTAAAATGGTGGTCATTTACTGAGATTTTTTCAGTGGACTTTTTGGAGGAACCCGAGAAGTTATGTCCAGCAGCTTTGTTTCATTTTCCCACATTTGTGCACTTTCACAGATATTAAACAGTTAATAAACCACCGTTATTACACATTTAAACCTGAAGAAACACTAAATAGACAAAATAAAACAAATCACACAACTTCACTCCTCGCGTTCCCGCCAAAAAGTCCATATTTAATCTATTCTCAATTTCACCACAGACTATAACCAATAAGAAAAGTTTGACAATAAACAAATGATTTGCATTCGTGCGTAAGTCAAATACATGGTAGTGTTTGTAATGATTTTTTTTATCGATTTAATGTATTTTTTATGTATAATTTAAAAAAAAAATTAACATTCTGCACTCTTTCTCTATATATTCTCTATAAGTGTGGGAAACTTCATACTCCTCCGTCCGCGCAATTTTCGTAAAAAGGGGCACAAAGTTTTTGCTTCACGTACTAATATATAGATAGAAACTATTATTAACACCACAGAAACGTTAGGGTAAATCCTGTCATAGTCAGTGTCTGTTGACAGGAAGAGTTGCCCTAAGTACTTTGAAGTCGTCGTGGCCTAAAGGATAAGACGTCCGGTGCATTCGTATATAGCGATGCACTCGTGTTCGAATCTCGCAGGCGGGTACCAATTTTTCTAATGAAATACGTACTCAACAAATGTTCACGATTGACTTCCACGGGAAGGAATAACACCGTGCAATAAAAATGAAACCCGCAAAATTATAATTTGCGTAATTACTGGTGGTAGGACCTCTTGTGAGTCCGCACGGGTAGGTACCACCGCCCCGCCTATTTCTGCCGTGAAGCAGTAATGCGTTTCGGTTTGAAGGGTGGGGCAGCCGTTGTGACTATACCTTAGAACTATATCTCAAGGTGTGTGGCGCATTTACGTTGTAGATTTCTATGGGCTCCAGTAACCACTTAACACCAGGTGGGCTGTGAGCTCGTCCACACATCTAAGCAATAAAAAAAAAAGCACGTCATTACGGATACTCCCGATCCATTAACGGTGCTTTTAGGTACCACAAGCACCGGTCACCGTCCTCGCCGAACCCGCCGCTTGCGATGAAGGGCTCGACGAGTAAATTAACCCACTGAGCCCACTGAGTTTCTCGCCGAATCTGCTCAGTGGGTCGCGTTTCCGATACGGTGGTAGATTCTGCGAAGCACTGCTTGTCCTGCTACACTGACATAGCCTCTCAAGGCTATTATTAGCTTACCTAAGCTGATAGCCTTTCTAACTAGAAAAAAAAAGAAGAGTTATTAGGTAGAAATTGAGCTACAAAGGGGTAGACAGATTATTGTCTTCTTTTAATAACTGGCAGGGAATTAGTGCGTCGTGCAAAATCTGTTCAGCAACTTGGATCATAGACACATCTGACGGTATCCCATACTCACTAAAACCCGACAAACGTTACCCCCTTTTTCAAGCAGTCGGGTAAAGTAATTGCAAATCGCTCAGCAAAAAATACTTAACACACTTTTGAAGTGTATTTTTTTTTTCATAATCTCCTCTGTTGACACTTGATATATTAATTACACAAACATAATTCGTGTCAGAGTTATTGCCACAGAGATTACAATATGTCTGCTCTTATCCTGGTTATTATAAGCTTAGAATTTTATCTAAATGCTTTATAAACAATAATATAAGAACCTGCATTTCTGGTCTTATCGGGTCACTGCTCCTGGCCAGCAGCAATCCAATACCGTATCGAAACGGAGACAGCTCAAAAGAATAAAATTAAAATAAAATGCAATTGGGTTTCATTTACTGCATCGGTCCGTTCCTAGTTTAACGGTCTCTGCCCCTGGCATTGCTGAAGTCCATGGGCGACGGTAACCACTCACCATTAGGTGGGCCATATGCTCATCTACTGATAAGGTCTAAATTGAAGTCGTCGTGGCCTAAAGGATAAGACGTCCGGTGCATTCGTGTTGAGCGATGCACCGGTGTTCGAATCCCAGGCGGGTACCAATTTTTCCAATAAAATACGTACTTAACAAATGTTCACGATTAACTTCCACAGTGAAGGAATAACATCGTGTAATAAAAATCAAACCCGCAAAATTATAATTTGCGTAATTACTGGTGGTAGGATGTCTTGTGATTCCGCCCGGGTAGGTACCACCCGGCCTATTTCTGCCGTGAAGCAGTAATGCGTTTCGGTATGGAGGACGAGGCAGCCGTAGTTATAAGTGAGACCTTAGAACTCATGTCTCAAGGTGGGTGACGGTATTTACGTTGTAAGTATCTATGGGTTCGGGTAACCACTTAACATCAGGTGGGCCGTGAGTTCGTCCACCCAACTAAGCAATAAAAAAAGGTCAATAAAAAAAAACCCTTGAAAACCTAGAATATATACGTCGCAAGAAACTCAAAAATTATGCTTCCCAGCAAAGAGTGTTTTTACGTAATAACCTACCATTAGATCTTATACGAGATTGTCCCTGTTCCCATTTGGTTAGTATAATGTTTTTCTCTTTCCCGTTTCATAAATAATTTATCAGACCAACTATAATTAATTAGTACCTACGTTCAAAGCATTTACATAAAGCAACCGTATGCTCGTATTGAGATTGTGAAAAGTAATGTACTGCCGGTCTCTTCAACTTGCTCTTATTCAGTTCTGAACGTCGAGAAAACACATGATTTTTTCTATCTATTTCTGAAGCAAAAATGTCCGTTTGTTTGTACCGGTTTTCAGTAGCTGAGGTAAATAAGTCATAGACATAGACAGACCAATGAGTGTTGTCACAACAATAGTGTTATTTGGTCACAATAATAGTGTCTGTCTTCTTCAACCCGTGTCCACCCAATGCTGAGTGTAGGTCTCTTCGAATGCACCCCATTCTCTTCGGTTTCTTGCCTTTCTCGTCCAGTCCCTACCAACCACTTTGACCAGGTCACTGGTCTACTTCATTGGCTGTCTGCCCACGTTACGACGTCCAGTACGAGGTCTCCTGTGTTGGCATAAGAAATATAAAACCTGAAAAAAGACAATTATGTAAAAATTTAAATAATTTATAAAAATAGATGTGTAAGCTTTAGGATTGTAAGACTGTACGCAAAAATTAAGTGAAAACTCCCGATCCATAGCCCTTACATTAGGTAAAAATAAATACATAAATTCAAACGTAATAAGCCATGTCAACGCCATGGGAAATAATTGTGAAGGCAAAATTAGAGGTTTTAGCTGGTTGGAGTCCAGCACTACCCAAGATCTCCATTCTCGGGTCTCCATGATGGATTTTACCTCCTGTTTTGCCCGCATTAAAAAAAAAAA